GGCTGGTTTAACTCACAGTGCTCTACATCTGCAAGTGTAGCCATGCCTAAAGTTATCAATCAGCCTTTCAAGTTTGCAATCAGAAATTAATGTTCAGCAACTCATTAATCAGCCGAGTAACATCTTTATTCTCATCTTTGATACGGGTTCACAGTTAGTATTTTATTCTATTTGGGGAGGCATTTATATGCAGATATTATTATAGACAGACTATGTACCGTAGTCCACAGTCCCACCCATGATTGCAGAGTCCAGGCCAAGATTTAAGAAGACCCCATAGTGTGACCGCAGGCTGCACACTACAGGATGTGTTTAATTTGTCTGAGAGCTACGGTATCAAAAGGACCTGAGGCCAGTCTACACTAAAAAATTAAGTCAACCCAGCTATGTTGCTCAGCAATGTGAACATTTCACACCCCTAAGCAATGTAGTTAAGCCAACCTACCCCACAGTGTAGACAGCTGTAGGTTGATGGAAGAATTCTTCTGTCAACCTAATTACCACCTCTCCAAGGTGGATTAACGACAGTGATGCGAGAACTCTTCTGCCGCTGTAGTAAGAGGTTACCCTGAAGCACTAAAGTGGTGCAGAGTTTAAGTGTAGGCATAGCCTAAATTCAGTGGCCTTGGCCTATACATTCACTACAGATTACTCCGGTCTCTTTTCTTCTATGAGACATGCCATGTTGGTCCCAGGATATTAACAAGACAAGGTGAGTGAGGTAATATCTTTTATTGGACCAACTTTTGTTGGTGAGAGAAACGACCTTTCAAGCTTACACAGCGCTCTTCTTCAGATCCACTGTGTAAGCTCAAAAGCTCACCTCTCTCACCATCAGAAGTTGGTCCAGTAAAAGATATTACCTCACCCACCTTGTCTCTGTTCTCTACTGTGAGACACCCTAAGGCTCAAACCAAATCCCTGAATCTGAACAACAGCTAACAGCTCCTTGTGGAGCAGAGAGGGGCTCAGAATACAAATGTTGGCCCCAATCTCTCTAATGAGCTGAGCCCAAAACTCTGCATATACCCATCTATAGATATTTATTGTATAGCCTGCATCATCATAGCTCCAAGTGCTTGTTGATGCCATCACTCCCAGCTTGAGTGTTTTGGAACTCTCTCCAAATACTCAACCCTATTTGCATCTGCAATTAGTTTTAGGAGGGTTCTGAAAGTCATTTGTAACTGTTGATGTATAATCTCTCTAGCACTGCACATTTAGCCTGCATGTCTTGGTTAGGGCTCTCGGTTGGCCTTAAGAGTAAAATCTCTGACCAAAGGAAATCCTATAGCTCTTGCTAAGAAAAACAAACCACCACCACCCAAACCTCCTCCCAAAACAGGGCCAGAACCAATAAAGAGTCTATCCTAAGCAAATGGTACACAGTCACATGTTAAGGAATTTTTTCACCTTCAGCATTACACAGGCTAGTCAGAGGAATCTCACAAGACCATTCCCCGCATTTTCTCTTGCATCATATAGTGGGGCAAAGTACACTTAGGGGGAGACACATCAAATGCTTGTAACAGTAGAGTATCAAGTTGCAAACTTCCTTGGTAGCAGACCCTTCGAGATTTCCCTACAAGACCCATAAAGATTAGGGTAAGGACATTAACCGGAGTGAGCCTCTCACATTTACATAATATCCTAGCTGTGATGTGCCTTAAACCATGTTCTAGTTGCACTGAAAGCAGTAAGCACTATTACAGTAAGCCACACTAGCACCGTGTGTATCACATCCCCATGTAGCAAACAGCCTACTACTGGTACTAGCTAATGGAGTTACTCCTATAGCTCAAGTGATAGAGGGTTGAGCTATGAGCTATAAGGTTCATACTCCATTGAGGCAGGAGTTCATTATGGAAAGGTTATACTGAGTATTCTACAGTAAAACTTAAATGCAGATAATAACTAATGCTCTAAAAGTTCTCCCTGTATAGAGATAAGGAGGAAACAGTAAGCATAATATTGGGGTGGATCAAACTGAATATTACAGAAAAATGCCAGGTGACAGAGAATTACTAGTAAATATACTATAGCTTAAGAGAAAAATATCCTCCCAATTCACAAGACACTCCTAGACTCCACCAGTTATTTGTAAGTTTCCTAGCTGTGGGAGGGGAAAAGATCTCAACCCTGCAAACCAAAGTATGTTTAGCAAATACAGTAATAATCCAACCAGTGGGGAAAACCAGAGGAGGAAAATGTATCTGAAGGCTGGGAATTTATTGAACATTTAGGTGCAAAGTCTACCCCTATCTCCAGGGCCAGAGGGGTCCCAATGGTGGGACCAGCATGGTTCCACCACCAAGGGGCAGAGGGCAAATTTTGGGGGAAAACCACTGCAGAAGGAGTATACCTCCTTGCAGGTCACTTAGCTCAGCTCAGCAGGGGCTCCTTGCTTAGAAGAATTTAGGGACAGGGTAAAGGGGAACCCAATTCAGCATTTATCCTCCAGCCATTTCCCCTGTAGAGGGCATACTCAAGGCTCCGGAGCAACTCTGCCACCACTCTTCAGCCTTGGAAGGAATATTTCTCCTTATGCATCTCCCTGCATCCAGCCAGAATACTTGGTCTGGGGACCTGATTTGCACTTTACAAACAAGGAACAGATAGTTTAGAGGGAGAATATACCTATCTTTGCATCAGGGATCTCCAGACTCTGCTAGTCAATTTCATGCCGTTCCATTCCCATTTCCATCCAGGAAGTGATGCCAAGCTAATGGCCAGATGTGCACAGACAGGAGGTGCGAGGATTAAGTGGAAAAGAATTTCCAAATGTGCTACTCTATGGCATGAAGTTAGAGTGCTGAGAAGTAATTTCACCCCCCAGCAAGCTAATAATTTTAAGTATCCCACTCCCTCCCACCACTATTTATGCATTATATCTGAAGGAGGTCAATAGAATTTAACCCTGGTTGAGGCTCTCAGGGCTTTGTGCAACACAATAAAAATTACATTAACAGTCCACAATATTACAATAAAAAAATTTCTTAAAAATTCAAAGTATACATTGGAAGAAACATTTCTATGTATCTGAATGCACACACTTTATATTTTAAAGACCCAAAAGATGTTTGAGTGAAAGTAGCTGCAGTGGTAATTACAACCCAACCCTCTGAAATCTGCTCTAGACAAGTCTTTGCCGCTAGCAAACAGAAGACATTTGTTTTTTTTTTAATTAATCATTGATGAGAGGATATGCTGTACTACCTGTTTTTCAAAATAATGAATTCCTGGTAATCTGGGCTCAGTCGTGCAGTCCTTTTTCATGCAGAACTTCATGGGAAGCCCTAAAGCTTTTGATAAGAAAAACAAAGCCAAACCAAAAAACCCTCCTCAAAAAATATAGGGCCAGAACCAATAAAGAGCCAGGTGTTAGTTTCTGAGATCTATCCTGAGCAAATGATACACAACTCCTATGAGAGTTTTGCAAGAGAAAGGACTTCAGAGATCACACCATTGCTGGAGAGATCTTAATAATTTTGTAGGAAACCAAGACTTCGATCTTCCAAGGGCTTAAGTACATGCTTCTCTACTTATGCAAGAAGTCCCTGTTGACTTCAGCAGGACTACTCAAGTATCCAGTTCTTGTGCATCAGTGTGTCTGCATCAGGGCCTGCTGGAGCATGAACTGTATTTTTCTAACACTCCCACTTAGTACTAGGGTACATCCTGCGACAGATCCCAGATGGGGTAAATCACCCTTGCTCCATTGACTTCAATGCATTTTTTATTTCAACAGAGCTAAGGTGTGTTACACCAGATGAGGATTTGCCCCTGTGGTCGTCTTCCTCCCTCCCCCACACTTGGCACAAGAGCCTTCTTCCCTGCAGCTCCTGCCATCCGGAACACCTTTCTTCCTCAGCATCTCCAGTCTCAGCGAAACACATCTCTTTATTCCCCCGCCTGAGTGCACCACTTAAACGGCACAATGGCAGATTGAGAAAGAAATCAGCCCTGGGCAGCCTTTTGAAATACACTTAGTATGAAAGAAGCTATTCACAAAATCCGACTGTGGCTCTAGGAGTATGTGCTACTTTGTATGAAGGATGACGATATAAAAATAAATAGCACTGCAGTGTGTGTTAGCCAAGGAGGAGCTCTGACCTTCGCTCAGCAAATTAGTTGCAAAGTCCCTGTCCACAAAATCCCAAGCGATGCAAAACAGCTTCAAGAAAAGGAGGTCTTGTGGCACCTTAGAGACTAACCAATTTATTTGAGCATGAGCTTTCGTGACCTACAGCTCACTTCATCGGATGCTGTAGCTCACGAAAGCTTATGCTCAAATAAATTGGTTAGTCTCTAAGGTGCCACAAGTCCTCCTTTTCTTTTTTGCGGATACAGACTAACACGGCTGCTACCCTGAAAACAGCTTCAGGCTCTGCAATATCGCTTCCTGTTGTCTCTCCTCCTCACTGTCACCTCGCGACTCGCTTCCAAACAGCCCCTCGCACAGAGCTAGGGAGGGGAGGGCTGGGAAAAGGAAAGTTTTCATCCCCCCCCCCGCTCTAAATCCAGCCCGTGCATTTCACACAGGCTGGTTTCGAGCCCGCTCCCACAAACCCTTTATAAATCCCTGGGCAAGCTGGTTTGCATGGGCAGGGAAATCAAGCCATGCAGTACCACGCATTCAGATGCGAGAGCTTTCAACGCAGCTCCGAGCTCAGAGCGAGCTCGGGCCGGATCTCAGGCAGGGCTTGCTAGCGGCTGAAAGCACACCCAGTTAGCCGGAGAGCTGGGCTCCGCCGCGTGCGCCCATGCTGCTGCTGAAGCGGGCCCTGTTTGCAGAAGTAATGTCCAATAAGGCCGAGTCTGCAGGCAGAGGAGCATTACCCCCGGCGGAATTGCTCAGACACAACCCGCTCCCTGGCTCACCGCCGGCGCCGGGCAATTTACAATGTCTCTCCACAGCCAGCAATAGGAACGGGTGGCTCCAGAAGGAGCAGCGGCGAGAGCCGGGGGAATGAATGAGCGAAGAGGTCGTTGTTACTCACTGCGATCTGCCGCGGCTGCTCTAGGAAGCCTCCCGGGGGACAGAGGGCGAGAGACTCGGAGGGAACTTTAGCCAGTTCCCTTCCTCCTCCTCCTCCTGCAGAATTCCTCAATTGCACCATCCAAGTGGGGGTTTTTAAGCTCCCCTGCCCCTCAGAACAGCAAGAAACATGGGGCCAGTTAATGCCTCAGCGTTAGCGGGAGCCTTATTAGGAAATGTGTGCATGGGTCTGGGCTGGGGAAGGCGGGTTTTGTGCACGCGCTGGGAAAGTTTCAGAGACAGGCTGCTGCACTTTTGACAACAAACGTTGGTGACCTACAAGGGGGGGAGAAGGGAAGCTGTGTGTGTGCAGTGGAGACGAATGCAGCTGCCTGACCTGAGAGCGCTCCGTGCCCAGAGCGCACACCTCCTCCGCAGCTCAGAGATCCCTACAGCAGGCAGCCCGCCGCGCTGTCCCAGGGATCAAAGGAGCAGGCAGTCAGGAATCAGGCAGTACACAGAAAAGAAACGGATTGGAGAGATCCCAGGGAAAAGAGTCTTACTCCCAAGAGCAGATAGCACACAGAGATCAAAGGAGGACACGTTTACAGAGATAAATGGCTAGATTGATTCATGGGGAAGGTCTCATTCCCGCTGTCTTGCCCCTTGTGAGTGTAAAACCACTATCAAATCAAGCTCCCTCCCTCACACCTGTGACAGTGTTATTACACCCTCTTGGCACAGGTGTGACAACACAAGGTACAAAGCAGTGGAAAAAACTTGGAAAGGCTGCTTCTCCAATTCTGTTGTTTATGAGAGAGAAGAATTTTGTGTAAGGTTTAAATTTATAGACATGATGTTTTGGTTTTAATAAACCATTTACAGTTCAAAGTCAGTTACACTAAGTTTTAAACTGATATTAGTGGAGGCACAATATAAATCCTGTTCAGAAAAGTATATGCAATCCTTGTTTTAAACCCTAGATGTATAGATTTTGGATATGGGTGTCATGGGGTCATAGCCAACTGCAGGATCAGGGCCTCTGTCTTATTACCAAATAAGACTTTAAAACATATTAAGTTTATTCCTTAAATAAATGAAAGAATGCTCATTGTTTCTTATTGGCAATTTTAATGACTTAAGGGTCTGATCCTGCAAACATGTATGTAGTGGATGGGCACAGAAGTGTCAGCTTTGGGATAAATCCTCCTCTTGTGTGCAGGTATTGCTCCCATCAAATGCAGGCCCCTTGAAATGTGACTCTTAGTTGTGGTTTGTTTCTTTGTTTGTTAAAGGGAAGGTGTCATAAATATAAAGGGAAGGATAAACCCCTTTGAAATCCCTCCTGGCCAGGGGAAAGCTCCTCTCACCTGTAAAGGGTTAAGAAGCTAAAGGTAACCTCGCTGGCACCTGACCAAAATGACCAATGAGGAGACAAGATACTTTCAAAAGCTGGGAGGAGGGAGAGAAACAAAGGGTCTGTGTCTGTCTATATGCCGGTCTTTACCGGGGATAGACCAGGAATGGAGCCTTAGAACTTTTAGTAAGTAATCTAGCTAGGTATGTGTTAGATTATGATTTCTTTAAATGGCTGAGAAAAGAATTGTGCTGAATAGAATAACTATTTCTGTCTATGTATCTTTTTTGTAACTTAAGGTTTTGCCTAGAGGGGTTCTCTATGTTTTTGAATCTAATTACCCTGTAAGATATCTACCATCCTGATTTTACAGGGGGGATTTCTTTATTTCTATTTACTTCTATTTTTTATTGAAAGTCTTCTTGTAAAAAACTGAATGCTTTTTCATTGTTCTCAGATCCAAGGGTTTGGGTCTGTGGTCACCTATGCAAATTGGTGAGGCTTTTTATCCAACATTTCCCAGGAAAGGGGGGGTGCAAGTGTTGGGAGGATTGTTCATTGTTCTTAAAATCCAAGGGTCTGGGTCTGTAGTCACCTAGGCAAATTGGTGAGGCTTTTTACCAAACCTTGTCCAGGAAGTGGGGTGCAAGGTTCTGGGAAGTATTTTGGGGGGAAGGACGCGTCCAAACAGCTCTTCCCCAGTAACCAGTATTAGTTTGGTGGTGGTAGCGGCCAGTCCAAGGATAATGGGTGTAATATTTTGTACCTTGGGGAAGTTTTGACCTAAGCTGGTAAAGATAAGCTTAGGAGGTTTTTCATGCAGGTCCCCACATCTGTACCCTAGAGTTCAGAGTGGGGGAGGAACCTTGACAGAAGGGATGGAAGGATTGCTTCCCCTGGATATTTTGAAGTGTACAGAACACAATTTAGGCTATAAATCTTGTTTTCTCCTTGGTGTTCCTTAAATGCCTCCACACTTAAACATGGTTACACCCAAAAAACCGTCTAGCATAAAAACAAGCACCAATTCTGTGCATTACTTTCAAGTGATATCAACAGCATAATATTTGTAGAGACTTACATATTCTTCATTCTAATCCTGGGATTAATTTTGTGCACAAAAACGAACAATGAGCATCCTTTAAAAGGGGGCAGCATTGGATACCACTTTTGCTGGTATGTCATCTATCTCACTGAGCATTAGCTGCTGGTAGATAAGAAGAGGAAGTAACACAACTAGTCTAAGAAACCTCTCTTTTGGTTCTCTCTTGCGGTGCTGTGTCTAAACTGCAGGGCTAAAAAGACCCCTTCTTCAGCTAGTTTGAATCCTCATCATATAGAAACAAAAGCAGACATATACAGAGCCCAACTTCCATAATCTGCATAGCCACTGGTACACAATGGCTGTTGAACTGGAAAGGCATTCACATGATGGCAGTGACAGGGAATGGCACCCCTCCCATTATGCGCATATACAAGTGCTTGGCATAAGAGAGGGAGCTTTCATGCACCTACTCACCCACACAGAGCTGGTCTTAGTTTTTTTCCATGCCCCAACTAACCAGCATCTATGTAATGAGAGGTTTCAGAGTAACAGCAGTGTTAGTCTGTATTCGCAAAAAGAAAAGGAGTACTTGTGGCACCTTAGAGACTAACCAATTTATTTGAGCAAAAGCTTTCGTGAGCTACAGCTCACTTCATCGGATGCATACTGTGGAAAGTATAGAAGATCTTTTTATACACACAAAGCATGAAAAAATGGGTGTTTACCACTACAAAAGGTTTTCTCTCCCCCCACCCCACTCTCCTGCTGGTAATAGCTTATCTAAAGTGATCACTGTCCTTACAATTTGTATGATAATCAAGTTGGGCCATTTCTAGCACAAATCCGGGGGGCGGGGACGGGGACCTGGATTTGTGCTGGAAATGGCCCAACTTGATTATCATACACATTGTAAGGAGAGTGATCACTTTAGATAAGCTTCACTGGGTTTTGGATACAGCCAGTGGCAGGGATGGATTAGGGCATAGACACAAAAGACATGTCTTGCACCTCAGCTCTCACAGTCCTGCAATTACATCATAATCTCACTTTTGATTTAAAAGATAATTCTAGCCTTCACAACCACAAAGAAGGCATGACCTGAGTGTCACCAAGGAAGTGATGTTTGCCTTCAGCAAAGGGCGGAGCTCTGGCCACTAAAGCCACTTAGCCCCACAAACCAGCACTACAGCAGGTCAGGTCCCTGCTGGGCTCTAGAGCGTTGGCTCCCCCTTAGTGTAGCTCAGATGCTCTATTCTGTCCCTTGGTGCTTTTGGCTCCACAGGTCAAACTAGGAGGGGAAAAACTAAAGGTATCACCCTGCTCTTCTTTCCATTGGCCTTTGGAACAGGCTAATGGCAGAAGGGAGTGAATGCAGCACCTTGTTAAACTTGGCACAGGCACCATGTGCTCCCATGTTCCAGTCACATTGCCTCCCAGAGCCCCTGCAGGAGCTATGCATCTCCCAGGGTGGGCCTGTGCTTTAAAGAGCCCCCAGAAGCCACAGGATGAACTGAAAGTAAATATTTCTGCTCCTTTGGCATTGATACTAAATGAGATCATGTTTTTGACAATGAGTTTTCCAATATACTTAATGGATGGTGCCGGGTAGAGTAATTCTCTACTGCTGTTAACTGGCTACTTCAGTTTTTTAATTGTAAACATCTTTCATGCAGCTGCTCCAGGGACACATTTAGGAAACAGCAGCTGGATGGATTTAAAACTTGTCAGAGCATCTTGACCTAACATTTATATTTCAGCAATGTGCAAGCCATGGATTGTAACCAACAAAGCCCTCAGAGAGCTTACACAGCTTCTGTAGGGCAATGCTCAGGAAACAAATGAAGGATGAAGTTACTTTCCTAAACACTTCCAGTGGGTAAGTGATTGAGGTTGAACTGTTAAGGCTGCAGTTCAGATGATTATCAGGTAATTAGGAGCAGAGCTGCATCAAAGGAATCACAGTCAGTGTAGCACTGGGCAAGGGGAGGGAGGATATTCTTCGATTATAAGTTGGGGGTGCTTCTGTAGAAACTTTTAGGCTCCCTTGTTGGGACAAGCTTCAGGGGGTGCCACGACCCATCTATTCAGGGCTGGCAGCATTTAATACTCTCTTCTTTTCACTCAAACTTCTTCTCCAGAAAGTAACTGAGAATATGATCAGTATTTGGTCTGACTCATAATTAGAGCTGGGAAGCTACAGAACAACCAACCCACCAAGTAGACAAACATGTCTATAAAGCCTAACAACATAGAGAGCTGGGCTCCCCTGAATGTTCAGGACTTGAAAAAAATGCATTTGACCATTCACTAGTGCCAAGTGTCTGTCTCTCTCTCTCCCTGGTGAGTGTGATGGCCTAAGCCATCTATTTCTGCAGAATGTAAACTCTTGTTTAAAAATACAAAACAGTTTCTAGCCTTTGTGATTGTGGAGATAGTTTTCCAAATATGAACCGATGTAGCATCGTCTTCCTGAGTCTGCTCTACTGCCTCATTTTCTGCTCTTAGGTTTTCCAAGCAGTAACAGAGAAAGCTGCAAAACTGTCAAGAATCATATCAGTTTCTCACTGCTGCTGTTGTGGCACACTGGAGATTTATACTGGGGGAAGAAGACCCAAGAAATGGAGGCAGGAGTAGCGATAGTAGAGACTCCCCTGCTTACAGCAGCCGGGAGGTTTGGGAATGGATAGAAGAGACAGGAAGCTTCATCAAACTTACACTCTAATGCAACAGTGACCTCAGCAGTGTTAAGGCAGAATAACTTCCTAAATGCACAGAATGTGGGACAGACAAAAGCATATGAGGGTACAACTGGGGTTTTACATTAGAGTGCAAGTTTTATGAAACTGGGGAATTGGGCTGTACCCCAATAGGAATTGGGCTGTACCCCTTTAAATAGTTTGTGAGCCCTCCAAGGATGCTCACTGTATTCTGTGTTTT